TGTTCTGGTGAGTAGAATCATTACCTGCAGGCTCTTTGCTGTAAACACTGTCTTTTCAGAGAAATGCATCCAAATATTTAGTGTCTCCTCCCTCTGCATGCAGACACTGAACTTTCCTCATAGAGATTCATTGATTCAATTCATCTCTATGAGGAGATGCTGATTGGCCAGGGCTGTGTTTGAATTGTGCTGGATCTGCCCCTGATCTGCCTCTTTGTCAGTCTCAGCCAATCCTATGGGGAATGATGTCAGTACACTGCTTGTTTTTCTGAGTAACAGCATGCGGAGTTACACCTTCAAGCTTGAATATAGTTAGATTTTTTACTATATTTATGGAGGCATGAGGGGCCCAGGGGGGCTAGATGGTGGGTTTAACACTGTAGGTTCAGGAATACATGTTTGTGTTCCTGACCCTATAGTGATCCTTTAATGTGAGCGTCAGAGGTAGGATTACGAACAGAGGTTAGACGTAGGTCTCCGGCAGAGCGTAGGGGCCAAGACGGACAAATATCAGGATCTTAAGTTGAGTCCTATATCTTAGGGGAAGCCAATATAGGGGCTGACAAAGGGGGGAGGCGTGAGAAGACAGAAAGATGAGCTTTGTCGCTGCATTCATTATAGACTGTAAAGGGGCAAGTTGGGAACACGTAAGACCACTGAGAAGCGGGTTACAGTAGTCAAGGTGAGAGAGGACAGCGGCACTGAACAAGCACCTTTGCCGCATCAGGCGTTAAATGGGGTTGGATGCGCACAATATATTTGAGATGGAAGCGGCAGGATTTGGGGATTGTTTAGGGGTGAAGGAGAGGTCAGAGTCAAAGAGAACACCTAGGCAGCGAGCCTTAAAGGTAGAGCGGATTGTAGCGCCATTGCCTTGGAGGGACACAGACAAGGGAGTAGTAACACTTGAGGGAGGAAAGGTTCTGTTTTGGACAGGTGCAGTTTAAGTAAATGGTCAACCATGCAGTTGGAAATAGCAGAGAGGCAGTCAGAGACACAAGTCCAGAGGGGTGGAGAGAAATCAGTGGAGGACAGATAAAGTTGCGTGTCATCTGCATAGAAATGATACTGGAAGCTGAAGGAGCTAATGAGTTTATCAAGGGAGGCGGTGTAGATTGAGAACTATAGGGGACCAAGCATAGACCCTTGGGGAACACCAACAGAGAGGGATTGGGGAGAAGAGGCAGAGCCCAAGAAAGAAACACTGAATGAGTACTGGGAGAGGTAGGAAGAGCACCAAGAGAGAGCGGTATCTTGTAGACAGATTTCGGAGGATGAGAAGAAGCTGTTGATGATCAACAGTGTCAAAAGTAGCAGAAAGGTCAAGGAGATTTAGGATAGAGTAGTGGCAATGGGATTTTGCAGTGATAAGAGCATTAGATACTTTGGTCACAGCTGTTTCAACAGAGTGACGAGCGCAGAATCCAAATTGAAGCCGGTCAAGCAGAGAGTTGGATTCTAGGAAGTCTGTCAATCTCGCATACACAACTCTCTCAAGGATCTTAGAGACTAAGGGCAGTAGTTGGCTGGGGAATTAGGGTCAAGGTTGGGCTTTTTAGAATCATGGTTACAGTTGCATGTTTGAAGGGTAGAGGAAATGTGCCAAAGGAGAGGGAGAGATTTAAAATTCTAGTGAGAGGCAGAGCAAAAGAAGGAGACAAAGTGTGGATGAGATACGAGGGAATAGGATTGAGGGAACAGGTGGTGTGTGCTAATCGCATCTGAGAGAGGCTTATTTAAACTCATTTTGCCTTTTCCTCATTGCCCTGTCGTGGTTTCCCTTAGTGCAGAGGTTCTCAACCTAGTCCTCAAGGACTCCCTAACAGTCCACGATTTAGGGATTACCTGGGTGTGTCTAAGGTGTTTAGAAAAAGAAAAAAAACACACCTTAGACTCTAAGGTTTTTTTCTTTTTCTAAACACCTTAGACACACCCAGGTAATCCCTAAATCCTAGACTGGTAGGGGGTCCTGAGGACTGGGTTGAGAACCCCTGCCTTAGTGGTTGTCCGAGAGTGTGTTCCGGAGCGTTTATTTCTGGTTATTGACTTTGGCTTTGTTTGACTTCTCTGTATTCTGGTATCCCTGACTTTTGGCTTTCCCTCATCGTTGTGTCTCCTTCTTTATCCCCAACCTTGGCAAGTATTCTCTGGTACGTTAAGTCCGGCCACTCTAAGGCCCAGTAAGACGTTACCTTTAGTCCCTGGTGTGACATAATTCTTACGTGTTGGATCATACTAGTATCCTGACAATGGGGCGGGAGGAACGGAGCAGAGCAGAAAACTCTTCTGCTGTAGCGGGTGCAAATGAGAATAGGACAACTGAAGGAGTGTGGTTAAGGGAAAGGTTGGTAGTGGATGGAGAGAGATGATAGATCACTTCCCTGATTGTAGAAATCTTCTCAGTGAATTAAGTTGCAAAGTTTGTGTTGGTCAAGTTGGTAGGAGGAGGAGGCACGACAGGGTGCAGAAGAGAGTTAAAAGCATGAAACAGTAATTGGGCTCGCGGGAGAGTGTGGTTATGAGTGTATTGAAATCGTTTTCTTTTGAAGAGGAAAGAGCCAGACTGTAGGAGCGCAGTATCAATTTATAGTGGAGTAATTCAGACACAGAGTGAGACTTTCTCCAGCATACTTCAGCAGTTCTGGAACATTTTTGGAGGGCCAGCTTGGTGTGCCAGGGTTGTAATTGGGGGCGCTTAGTGCGTTTAAGTGTAGGAGGTGCCATGATGTCCAGTTGAAAGGCGAGAGTGGAGTTGTAGAGGGAGGTTGCAGTGTTAGGGTAGGTGAGATTTGAGATGGGTAAAAGGAGACTTTGGAGGTTGGTGAAGAATTGCTGTAGGTCAAGACAATGGAGGTTTCAGCAAGACTGATGTGGTGAGGGTGGTGTACTTTGGGTACATGGTATGCGGATGTCAATGGACAGCAGATGGTGGTCAGATGGAGGAAATGTAACATTGGAGAGATTCAAGGAGGTACAGAGATGAGGTCAAGAGTGTTTCCTGCTCTATGAGTTTATGAATTAGACCACTGTGTGAGTTCAACGGAGGAGGTTATAGAGAGCACACAAGAGGCATCAGGGAAGTTATGGTTGTTGATTGGGCTATTAAAGACCCCAAGAATGAAGAAAGGAATGCTAGAGGAGAAGAAATGAATGGGGTAGACAGGAAGAAAAGTGTTCAATAGCCAGGGGGAGGAGGGGTGATAAATTATGGCAATTCTTGGAAGAGTCGGTTTTAAATAGACGGAGAGTGTGAACTTTAAAGGATAGGGCATGGGCAGGGAGGATAGGTTGAAAGGTACATTGAGGGGAGAGAAGGATGCCTAAACCTCCTCCTTTACAGTTATTTGGTCTAGGAGTGTGGGAGAATTGTATGCCACCACAACATAAGGAAGCAGGAGTAGCAGTATCAGAAGGGAACAGCCAGGTCTGAGTGAGTGCAAGAAGTGTGAAAGAATTTGAGATGAAGAGGTCGTGTATGGCTGTTGATTTTATATTTCTGCAGATGGAGCGGGCGTTCCAGAGTACACACTGAATATTGGTAGATGGGGGATAGACGGCATGGTATTGGGATGAGGTTTGTGTGGTTTCTGGTTGACTTTGTGTGAGTAGAGGAGATGACAGGCCATGGGCTGGGAGAGACATCACCAGCTGCAAGAAGCAGGAGGAGAGATAGAGACAGAAAGTGTGGGTGGGTGGTATATGGATGGAGTCTGGGATGAGAACAAGTGGGAGAAAAATGGAGAGAATAAAAAAATAAATTAAAAAAGTGCAGGGCATGAGATGAAAAAAAGAGGGGAGTGCAGCATAGAGGGGTTAATGTGGAGGTTGGTTGGCAGGTTGAGGGAAGTGGGTTTAATGAGAGATTTTTATACTGAGGGAAAATAAGAGGACAAGATAGAACATATCTCCTCCAGGGAAGATAAAGACTCACTTCACATTAGCAACCTCATGGGCAAACTGGAGAGAGGTTATATCTGATATCTTTAAGGCAGCCACCAGGTTTTTTCCAATTACTTTCATGAAGCATTATAAGCTGAATTTGGCTTCATCTTCAACACCCTTTGGGAGAGGTGTCCTATTTTATGTTGTAGCTCACAAATAAATTATATTAATATTAGAAAGTGTAGTGTATGAATTTCTCCCTACCTAAGTTTTAGCATGGGTATTACCTGTAGGTGATGCTGCCAGGAATAAAGAAAATGTAATCATACTTACCGTAATTTTATTTTTCTTTCTATTATTCATGGCAGCATCAGCAACCCTTCCTTTTAATTTCAAGAGCTTTTAACTTGATTGTGGGGTAAAAGGACGGTGGGGACCTTTTATTCCTACAGTCTTGTTCTGATTGGTTGATTGTTTCCGGTTCTGTTCCTGTTGGGGGCGGAGCTACCAATAAGTTATGTTTCCATTTAGTCAGGAAAAGAAAACTACGGTAAGTAAGATTACAGTTTCTGCAATATTGAGCATTTTGAATAAAACCCTTCCCTGTAAGCCAGCCATCCATTTTTGTACCTTCATCTTTGTGTTGCTCTGCAGACCCACAGACAATTTATTTTATGTGTCAGCTTGTGATTTTTTCACAAGTTTGTTTATATGAATTTCATCTTTTTTAAACAAAAAAATAAATAAATTTTGTTTTGTTATTATGGTGTGTATATATATATATATATATATATATATATATCTTTTTTGGCCTCAAAGAAAAAAAAAAAGATTGGAGAAACAAGATATTCAGTCAAAATTACACAACATTTTTTTTAAAATTAGATTCCTTGCCCCAACCCTCCGCATTTGCAGAAGGGGGAAAGTAGTGCCATATTTCATGGATGGCTATAGGGACCCATACTCAAATACAAAAATGTCCAGGAGTCAAGGCACCTCCTATTAAAATATTCCTCTCCACCTCACAACCTGTTATTTTAATTTGTATTCATTTACATAGAGAAATACCATCAGCTCTCTTAGTTTAGAAAGATGAGAATGTCTTTTAATGTTTTTGTGGTTTATCGTTGACAAAGTGTTGTTGTTTGCAGCTATAACTACAGGTTTCCTTAGCATCGTGGTTTAACAATTACAGTAGAGAAATATATCCACTGAAAGTTAGCCTGTGAGTGGGGATAGTAAAAATAATAGGTCTCTAAATTGACTTCTGAGCGTTAACTGAACTTAGCAGAGCCACTTAGTAAATCGAGCCTTATAAGTTTAAAAATTATGGTAGCAGGAGTTATACGTAAATGAACTGCAATGCTGCCAACATTGATACGTACCTTGCAACCAACTCTGCCCCTCATCTATATTTATATATCACTATATACTTAACTATATCACTCAAGACTTAAAATACTACAAATTCAATGCTTTATTAACGAATATATAAACACATTTAATTTAATGTGGTGTAGAAAATTACACAGCACAAATAATTAGAAAGGATTTTATCTAAAAGACTCCAACAGACGATTCAGGAATGCTTGTTGCATGCATATCACGAGTCATATTAGATTTTTCCTTAAGTTTTGATTGAAGAAGTGTATGCTCAAGTACACCGATCCGAATATCCATTTCAACAGATTCTTGTTTTAGCTTTGTTAATGCTTGTTTAATTTTCACTAGTGGAGCTGAAAAGAAAAGCCCAAAAATAAGCATCTGAGTAAAACATTATTTAACACTGCATCTGAACAAGAATGAATAATGTCCCACCTGGGCTCTTGGACAAATCAGTCCCCCATCCAAAGTACCTGTAAAGATCATTTAACATGCATGCAAAGCTTTTTGAAAATATACTTAAATCAGGACTTAAGGGACCACTATATTGCCAGCAAAACATACTAGTTTTCCTGACACTCTGGGGAGAGGAAGGGGTTAAACTTACCTCTTTCTCCAGCGCCGGGCGGGGAGGTCTCCTCCTCCTCTCCGCCTCCTCTTCGGCTGAATGCGCATGCGTGGCAGGAGCTGCGTGCGCATTCAGCCAGTCTCACAGGAAAGCATTCAATGAGACAGCCACTGGAGGCTTTAGAGGCTGGATTAACCCCTTAAGGACACATGATGGAAAAATTCCGTTATGATTCCCTTTTATTCCAGAAGTTGTGTCATTAAGGGGTTAACCTATTTATAAACATAGTTTCTCTGAAACTGCTATGTTTATAAAAAAAAAAAGGGTTAACCCTAGCTGGACCAGGCACCCAGACCACTTCATTAAGCTGAAGTGGTCTGGGTGCCTATAGTGTTCCTTTAACATTTCAAGTCCAAGGCTACTAGTCAGACCTTAAATGTTACTTGGCACTGTAAGCCTGTAGGATCAATGGCACACTTACAGGGGTTTACTTCAACTCACCAGGGCACTTTCCAATGGCTAGTGATGAGTGGAAATCCCCTACTCTCTTAATGGCTTTCTACCACATACAGCATTATCCTGTGTGCAATTAAAGTACAATTAAGAAAGCAAACAATACAAACTTCTGAAGCAAATACACTATGCTGTAAAACCAACATTTTTTTCACAGAGGTTATGTGAATCACAGCCAGGGGTGGTGTAGCTGCAGTTCCATATATTGTTTAACCACCTAAATGGCAGAGAACTGAGCGGTGAGACTGCAGTGGCATAATTTATACACCAAAATGGCTTCCTTAAGTTAAAGTTGCTTTGATGTTTAGAGTATCTCTTTAAGCTCAGCATGTTGCAGCATTAGAAGTACACAACACACAGTACTTGAGTTGGATTAGGGCTAGTGACTGACAGGCAAATTTCTGCAATCACTGCATACCTTTAATCTACAAGTTTTTTACTTTGCTGTTTAATGTCACGCTTGATGGCTGGAGACATTAGCCATGCAACCAGTATTAATAAAATGCTGCTTTTAAAAGCACAGACCATGAAAGGCAATGACTTGACAGACCTGCCAATGCAGAATTTTGACAGATCAATAACAAGTGTAAACGTTGAGCCATGACCTAGATTAAATAATTATGACACTATCCAACAAGAATCGCAAGTCTCATTTTCTAAAGCCTATTCTGGTTAGAATTCAGTCGAACTAACCAAATCTGTATTATTCAGTTGGAGGCATTCAGTTTTTAGTATCATGGTTAATCCTCGCTGTCACCAGGCCAACATTTTTTATTTAAAACATCTGGGCCTAGATTTGAAGCATCCAGACTGGATGTCAGGCTTCCAGAAGCTTTCGGTCCAGCTGATATTCAGGCCAAACTTAGGTTCACTTCGAGCCTGCTCTGTAAAATTCGGACATTGTTTAATAGGTCATTAATGTTTGGATTTTGTAGTGTGAATGGCACTGTACAGCGGATGGTTTTGCCCCCTTCAATACGGTGCAATTTGGACCTTAGCGAATAACAAAATATATATGTATCAGTGCCAATGCTACTAAAAATAAAATCTGAGCAACCCAATCTAGCATGGAAAGAACCATAAATAAAAGTGGCTAGACAGACTACATTGGAATTCCTCTCAAACACAATTTGCCCACAATTATCTGAACTAGAATTTTTTGTTAAAAATGTCCATGTATCTCAGTGATGACAGGTGCTGAGGGTGCATTTGTCACCAGTAATATAGACTATACTTTATTTCATTGTCATTTCCCTTACAAACCATTCTACTTTTTAATATATCTAGAGATTAGTTACTGCAGTGAACCCCTTTTCTATTGCACTTTACAAAGTATGGAGAACCATTTTATAGCACATCTGTCTATAAAATAAGTGATAATTCCAGATGTGACAGGAAAAAAATAAGTTATCATCAATATCATCTTTTAAAAATATATTTTACTGACATTTAAAAAATGAAAAACAAAATTATTTTCATTTTTACAAAATACAAAAATAAACAAAAAGCACAAAAAAGAAAAAACACCTTATTGTACATATAATACACAAAAGTTAACTATATGTTTTTAGAAGTAATAGAAAGCAGCTTTAGTTTACCTGGTGATACATGAACACTTACCTCCATCGGTCATGCTACTTCCCTTTTCTTCAATTTCCTGTTTTACTTTTTCTAATTCTTCTGTGATCTTAAGAGAATTTGTTTAATTGTAAACACAAAAAGTGCAACAAGAATTAAGCATTTTTAATGTATCCCAGCCGTAATAGTTATGCTCATTTTAATGAGAACTAATTAAACAAAGCTAGAATTTCTACAAACACTCCAATAAGTGACATTTCTTCTTACTGGTAACTCATGTGTGACCTTTCCATTCAGTGAACAGCATGAATTTATTTCATAAGCAATTATTACAGAAGAAATGACCCAACGTGAGTGCCTGATATATACTTTGCCTTGTAAAAGCAGAGAACAAGCATTCTACTGGTTTACGTCTACAGCTGTGGTATGGCTGAAGGCTTTCTAAAATGACAGCATATGACTCTTTATACACCACGCAAGCCTCAATTTACACAGCAGGATTACTGCTTTCTCCTGTTATTTTAGTGAACAGGAAGAATGTATGACTAAGGAGCCACGGCTTTACACTGCATATATGTCAGATTATTTTAATTCAGGGGTCAATTTTAAGCATTATGGCACCTGAGGTTTCAAAAGCAGTGCAATATGCAAATATGATTTTTCTATATGCAGGAATACACTTATGTAATTATGTTATGCTAAGACATTTGTTACCATTTGCTGCACACGCACTCTAGTATTTATTACCAATTTAGACAAATGTCAACAGCCAAGTCAGCTGGGCTTCCACTTTCCAGAAGTTAAGTAGAAAAATATTAACTCCGATATAACTGTTATATTAATCATATTTTATCAAAGGAACGATAATTGCTTTCACAGCTTCAAAGCACAAGTAGATGATAATCATGTTGTTAAAATCTATATAGTTGGTAGCTGTTTGGAGAAGCTTACTTGGGAGTATTTAGGAATTTCAAAAAAATTGGGCAGGTTTTAAATCTGCCATGTTTTAGCAGGTTTTGCACATACTTAGTCTTGTTTAAGGAGGACTTTCCATTGAGTTACTATTTGGGTAGCAGAGCCACCTGTCCATGAGTGAAGGCATGCTATTGGCCTTTCTGTGCAAGCGCCATCATTGGCTGATAGCACCAGGGGTGGGTTTGCAGTGCACGCAGGAGAGAGAAGCAATTAGCCATCTTGGAAATAGAACAGAGAAAGCACGGTAGCAGTAGCCCCAGGCCCCTGCCAAATGAAAGGGTATATATTTTTCTTGCCCCCAATAGTGAATGTCTGAAGGATGATTAAGCAAGGGAATTTAAAAATATATAATATAAAAAAAATCCAGGAAAGCCCAAAGGGTGACAAAGGGAGGAGAGCATTTTTGACACACAGCACTGTGCTGCCTGCCACAAATCATTTTAAAACCTCCTACTGCACATACACGCTACCTTCTTTAAAGTGCACTGGTGCTGGGGGTAGCAGAAAAGTTGTGAAGCGTCAAACTGGGGCTGTGATTAGGAGGACTGATCGGATTCTGATTTGAATCTGTTTTAAACTATAATTAATGTTGCTTCTCCATATTACCAGTGCAGATTAACTATAATGCCAACTGTATCCTGCTGCTTTAAGTTTATGTACACTGTGTACGGAGAGCCAATAGTGAGTCAGGCAGGAGTAGACGACGTGTTTGGAGTCTATCAGTATATTGATGCTCTAACCATAAACACATTGTGTGGTGGGGAAAGGAGAAAGGAAGGAGAGAATATGCATTATACACGGACATGTATTGCGTGGATATCTCCATTTTGCAGCTCTGTGCAATCCATCACAGTGTTCCTGGCTGTGTGGCATAGTTGAGAGTATCTCCTTATTGTGCCCTGTTTTGTGTGTTATTTCTCTGTATTTTACTCAGCTCTACCTGTTGTATGGGTATCTCTGTAGTCTAACCAGCTCTGTGTATTGTATAGGTATCTTTGTATTGTGCCCAGCTCAGGACATTACATTTTTTCTCAGCTCTGTTTGTGGTATGGTTATCTCTGTATTGTACTCCGCTCTATGTATTTTATAGATTTCGTTATGTTGTGCCAAGCTTGTTTTATTGTAGGAGCATCTTTGTATTATGTTTAGCTCTCTCTATTGCATGAGTATTTCTGTACTGTATAGTGAGGAGTAAAATTCTGGGGAGGAGTCTGGAGACCCACCATCTTAAAACTTCACCATCCGCCACTGGTAGAAATGTAATAAAAAATAAATAAATAAATAAATTACCTCTGATAGGATCCGAGTCTTCTCTGTTACCCTTCCAGTTACTTGTTGATATTGATCTTTTACCTAATGGTGGAAAAATGCACAAGGGTTTAAATCAAGCATAGCAATATAGTAACATCTAAAATGAGGGGTCTGTTTGGACACGGATTACATATGTGGTCCTTTTCTTTTTCTTGCAGTTCACCATCTTAATTAATCAACACCTGACACAAGATAATGTGCCTCATCCTTAGGTATGTATGAGTTAACCATTGTTTTTACCCTCTTCTAGGGTTATTCATTCCTTAGTTGCCTAAGTAACTTTTACCAGTTTGTCTTACTTAGCTCCGACTAATAATTTACATAACATTTATCAGACTTTCTTTATACATGTGCCTAATTTACTTGTTATATTTTATAACAATTGCATTTATTATTTCTGTTTTCATGCCTGATGTGCACAATAATAAAAAATAAAATTAACCTCTTAAGGACCAAGCTTCTGGAATAAAAGGGAATCATGACATGTCATACATGTCATGTGTCCTTAAGGGGTTAAAGGGACACTTTAGTCACCAAAACAACTTTAGCTTAATGAAGCAGTTTTGGTATATAGATAATGTCCCTGCAATCTCACTGCTCAATTCTCTGCCATTTAAGAGTTAAATCACTTTGTTTATGAACCTTAGTCACACCTCCCTGCATGTAAGTTGCACAGCCTTCGTAAACAATTCCTGTAAAGAGTCATCTAAAGTTTATCCTTCCTTTGTTGCAAGTTCTGTTTAATTTAGACTTTCTTATCCCCTGCAAGATCCCCCTGTGTGTGATTAAATTTCAATTTACAGAGAAAGCGATACAAAGTGATTTAACTCCTAAATGGCAGTGAATGGAGCAGTGAAACCTGAGAAGCATGATCTATACACTAAAACGGCTTCATTGAGCTAAAGTTGTTTAGGTGACTATAGTGTTCCTTTAAGGGAAAAAAAAATATATCAACAGTTACTTAAAACAAAAGTACAGAATTTTAACAACACAACAAATCTAAACAGTATGAATGTAAAAAGATAAACATGCTTCGTTGACACTAAGGCTATATATTTACTAAAAGAATCACTACCATTGAATATAATTTTAGCATAGAGTACATAACATAAATGGACTGTTCCAGCAACTTGAAAATATGTTTGATCTGCTGCTAAAGATAGATATCAATTGAAAGACATAGCTCATATCTCTACATATGTATTCCAAAAACGTATGAACACTCACAGGATTTGTGAAGAATTTATGAAGTCATAATCCATAAATTACAGCATGATGTGCATTATTCTGGTCCTTAACCTACCTAATCCTTTCTCAAGATTAAGTGCAGTCTCTAAGCACGACACGCGTGAGATTTACTTTTGTGTTTTATATTTGTTACTGTATGACAAGCAGAAGGTATATAGTGTTTAGCCTTTATGGTACAGCTTTTTATTTAAAACATTTTTATGTTTTAACATTGCCAGGCGAGTACTCGAGAATCGGTGTATACGTGCTATTGTTCACATAAAAATTGTAGAATATAATGAACAATTTTAAGTTTGAATGTCAGCATTAGTAAACCAGCAAATGCAACAATAGATGTGCTAAATGGGATGATTTTACCTCACTCATTTTGGCCTGAGCAACCCGATATTCCTGGACCAAGGGATCCAGCTGATTATTGATGTATTTCTCACGACTGCCCACTTTCTCCAAAGTCTTGCTGATCTCATTGTGAAGCTTGTCAAGATAGCCCTAAGATCACATTTCAGACAAGTGAAATCCATTCTAGAGGACAGTTTTTGTTTAAACATTCATTATATAGTCAACAAAAATGTTGCATTTGTACAAAAACAATGTACTGAAGTGTTCTCAGAAGTAATAAAGAAATCTAGATGATTTTAACAAATTATTACATGCAGTTTCCCAAATTATTAATGTCAAGGCTCCACTGATTTTTGGAAATGTTTAATATAGCCTCACAATAAATAACTATCATATAAATATAAACAAAACAGATAATAAACTGCTTCAGAAACACTTTGTGTAACCCATAATTATTATTTTGAAGGTGAATTTAAGCAAAATATTACACTTTAGATACTGCTTTCTCAACACCATTTACCTTTTGATGACTATCTAAAGAGAGGTGAAAAAAAAAATCTTAGATGTACATAGCAAGGCTTAAACTGACACTGTAGTCACCAAAACCATTACAACTTAATGTAGTGGTCCTGGTGTCTATAGCCTATCCATGCATTCTATTCAGAGGAGAAAAGGTAGTATTTACAATGATGTCAAGTAACACCTCTAGTGGCAGTCACTCAGATGGCCACTAGAGATGCTTCCTAGTCCAGTGGTGTCCAGCACCTCCACGGTCTGCATGGAGACGCTAAACACTCCCCACAGAGATGCATTGATTCATTGCATTTCTATGAGGGGATGCAGATTAGCACAGCACAGCGTTTTGTCAATAGACTCCCAATGTTTTGGATTGGTAAGTAAAGCTCACCTTTCCATGCACTTAGAGAGGCCCGGGGACCTAAACATTGAACAGAAAACTATCGTTTTAGGAATACGTTTAAATTCCTAACACTATAGTGCACTTTGAATAGGAAAGAGCGATTTACAACACATTCCTGTTGCATATTTTTAAAGACACTGCTTATAGATCACATGAAAATTAAAGAAGCACTCCAGGCACCATAACCACCGCAGAGCACTGCAGTTCTTATGGTGTGAGGAATGTCCTGGTGACATCCAATTTAAAGACTATAGTGGGTTAACTTCTCTCCTAGGTCCACAAGTGCTACTCCACACTCAGTCTCTGCCAGAAGCTGCCCCTATAAGACTTACAGGGTGTGTGAGTGTGATATTTCCAATGCACACCTAGCACGATAACCATTACAGTGTGGTGTATTGGTTGTGGTGCTTGGAGCGAACCTTTAATATTTAACTATTACAATCTTTTACAAGTTAACATTTTAAAAAATATGTTATTCTCATGACTTCAGAGAGTCAAACTCCTTAAAATGAACTCCCTAAATAACATGTCCTCCTCACTTGTCTTCTCTGTTCACATCCCTATTATTGAGTTATTGTACTTTGTAGAGTGGTTACTGCCTTTCTTTATGAAATAAGCAAGACAACTATGCAAGAAGGATGCCATGCAAGAGTATCTCCTAAATCAGTGACCTCTAGATAGCAGTCTTGGGGTAATTTCTAGCCTCCTTAAATACTTGAATGCTGTCCAGGGGCCTCCTATACCAAAATACTGAGGGTATGTCCGAGTGATACACTATGTCTTGGATTGCTGGTTACATGGTCCATTTCAGGCCAGAGTATTGCCCTTATTTACTGTGATTTAAAAAGTTGGTCAGCTGAGGAGCAGTGTTTGCATGCACTGTATGCTCCTGCCAGACTCATTGCTAAAGATTCACCTTACTACCTTAGTTCAGTCACATTTCACTGATGAAGCTGACTGATTGTGAGAAGCAGCCTCCATTAAGAGCACGACTGAACTACAGGTGCTGAAGAGGGAGCATCTATTATAAAGGAGTGTAGCAGTGAATGTATTTTGGAGTGTATTTGTGTGAATGGTAGAGTCTATTAGTTTATAAGGGAGTAAAGATTTCTATGTGCCTGTGTGTATGCTCTCCTTTTACCTGGGCTTTCTGCATTTCTCAATTAAAAGACTACTAACCAATATCTAAGAAAAAAAGCAAATACCCTTGTTTCTTTTAATGACGTTTCAATTCCATCCTTATGCTGGTGCATTTGATCAACATGAACTCTCCAGTCCTACAAACAAGAAAACAGAACCATTTCCAAATTGTTTTGCTAAAAGGATTTAAAAAAAAGACATGGATGCATAAGGGGAAGTCACCTACTTTGTTGTCAGTTCTTATTACTACTTTGAGCTGAGGAAGAACACGCTCCACTTCCAGATTCCATTCTGCTGCATCTGTTACAGACTCCAAAATATCATCTGGTTTTGAAGATTCTCCAGAGTCCTGGAAATAAAAAAAAATTTTCAATGTGTACTCACACGAAATTGTAAATTAAAGTATGAAAGACACTGACACTGTTGCAAATAAAAGATGTTTACAGCTCCCAGATAACAGACTTTATAATTGTAATGTAATTTCCATTATTTCAGTATAGATGAAAAAAACAAACAAACAGAGCTGGTTTCATAAATAACCTCTCTGCATGTACATTCAAAGTGCTTTTTTTCCCCCAGATATGACTTACCAGTTTTTGGGTCTGTGCTTTGAGAATGTTTAAATCTATAAAGTGGTCTTCTTCATTATCTGAATCATCTTCCTATAGACAGATAATAAACTTTATTAAAAATGTATTAACACTGCAACATAAAATTACAATGCAAAATTGGGAAATATAAAAGTGGGTTAATAATATAAAGCATTTCCTTTCAAAAACATGCTGCATGAAAACAATCACTGAAGAATAAAAAAAAAAAAAAAGGGGGAGGATGACCTACTGCAATTTGATCTTCAATTTTGTCCAGAGTCAACTCAGCATCATCCTCCAATATTGTCTCTTCACCTTGTTCTTCTGACGGGTATGTGGGCCTGATCCAAACAAAACAAAACAACCAAAATAAAATACAAAAAGCCCCATCACAAATTAATTTTAAAAGTGGGCTATAGAGAAAGCAGACAAGAGGCCATAATGAGACTAGAATTTGCAGCCTCTGCAGCCATTTAATATATTGTCTACTTGCATAATGTTTTGCTATCTATATTGTATTTAGAGTGTAGCGGAGCGGCAATATTAAATCCCACGATGTCCGCTGGTTAAGAAGGTAATCCACAGTCAAGCGCTGAAAAGCAAGGCAATATCCCAAATCCCCCAGTAACCGGACGAAACACAGTTCTGGGAGTCAACAAAGGTCTTTATTTGCAGCTCCAGTGTTTATACAAGTCCCCATGCAAGGGGTTTCCATACTGCCTTAGCAGGGGTAACACAGTAGGGGACTACATGGGGGACTTCATATTTTGGGCATTTCTCCCATCAGGCACTGCTGCACGAGAGGGATACTCCCACTGGAATGTACTGTTAAGTGGATTATCCCTCCGTGCAGCAGAACCGGCAATTTATATTAAAATGCATAACTTTTCGAATATTGGGTTGATTTGCACGAATGGACGTTCGGTAGATAGCTGGGGTCTGAGCGCATAATTCGTGAGATTACCGCTCAGATCCCAGCTAAAACAACCGAACACCGCACGAAAAACATATTCATCAAAACATACATTCAAAAGACCGATTGGCATACGGGGAATAAAATACTGAACGGCCCGGAACTCCCGAACGGCCTGGAAGTCCAGCGGTGTTCGCACCGTCGAGTAGCCGTTTTTAGTACCATGCGCTCGACGACCAAACCCCGCTGGAGGAACAAAGGATCCAAGATGGCCGACCGCCGCGTGGTCGGTAGTCGAACGACGGCCACCTAGGAGAGCCTCTAATTACCGATTGCAACATTGTTGCAATCGGTTAACAAGCGCCACAGTGTGTGGGCTATTGCAGGATAGTTCATTCGGTTCAGCTTTCGGCAGATAGCCCATACAGGCAATGCAAGCATACGGTCACAGTACATTACACTCAGGAACATATAACATTACAAGAACTACACAGGCAACCCTTAAAGCCATAGTTTCTCTGTATTGTCCAAGTGGCTAGGTTTGCCACATAGAGCAATAAAAATATATAGTAAACAGTTTTCTTTTGTTTCAGGTGTTGTACCGGAGGATTGGAGGAAGGCAGATGTTGTTCCTATATTTAAAAAGGGTTCAAAATCCTTGCCTGGAAATTATAGACCTGTGAGCTTAACTTCAGTAACTGGGAAAATATTTGAAGGGCTATTAAGGGATAATATTCAGGAATTCATTGGGAAGAACTTTGTTATTAGCAATAATCAGCATGGTTTTATGAAACATAGGTCATGTCAAACTAACCTAATTGCATTCTACGAAGAAGTAAGTAGAAGTATAGATCAGGGTGTTGCAGTGGATGTGATCTACTTGGACTTTGCCAAGGCATTTGATACGGTTCCTCACAATAGGTTAGTCTTCAAACTAAAAGAAATTGGTCTAGATGAATATTCCTGTTCTTGGGTAGAACATTGGCTTAAGGACAGAGTACAACGAGTTGTAATTAATGGTAAATTTTCAGGCTGGACAAAAGTGGTAAGTGGTGTCCCTCAGGGTTCTGTTTTGGGACCACTTCTATTTAACATATTTATAAATGATCTTGAAATAGGCATTGAAAGCCATGTATCAGTGTTTGCAGATGACACAAAACTTTGTAAAGTAATAAAATGTGAGCAGGATATTGCTTTGTTGCAGAGAGATTTGGATAGATTGGGGGACTGGGCACTAAAATGGCAGATGAAATTTAACATAGAGAAATGCAAAGTTATGCACTTCGGGGTTAAGAATGCACAAGCAACTTACACACTAAATGGTAGTGAATTAGGGATAACCACACACGAGAAGGATTTGGGCATTGTTATAGACAACAAATTAGGCAGCAATATGCAATGTCAATCTGCAGTTGCTAAGGCCAGTAAGATTTTGTCATGTATAAATAGGGGCATAAATTCTCGGGATGAAAATATAATTTTGCCTCTTTATAAATCGCTGGTAAGACCACACCTTGAATATGCTGTGCAATTTTGGGCGCCTGTTCTAAAGAAGGATATCATGGCACTGGAGAGGGTCCAGAGACGAGCTACAAAATTGATAAAAGGAATGGAGCATTTTAGTTATGAAGAAAGGTTACAAAAATTAAATCTGTTTCGTTTGGAAAAACGGCGCCTGAGAGGGGATATGATAACTTTATACAAATATATTCGGGGCCAGTACAAACCTTTATCTGGAAATCTATTCATAAACAGGGTTATACATAGGACACGAGGTCACACATTTAGGCTGGAAGAAAGGAGATTTCATCTAAGGCAAAGAAAAGGTTTTTTTACAGTAAGAACAATAAGGATATGGAATTCTCTGCCTGAAGAGGTGGTTTTGTCAGAGTCCATACAGATGTTTAAACTGAAATTGGATAAATACTTACAAAAACATAACATACAGGGATATAATTTCTAATTAGTGGGGTAATAGCTGATTGATCCAAGGAGACATCTGACTGCTATTTTGGGGTCAAGAAGGAATTTTTTCCTAGTTTGTGGCAAAATTGGAAGTGCTTCAGACCAGGTTTTTTGCCTTCTTTTGGATCAACAGCAACAACATTTCTGAGGAAGGCTGAACTTGATGGACGCAAGTCTCTTTTCAGCTATGTAACTATGTAACTACGTAACTATGTAGTGAATATAGTGAGTAGCATATATACAGTTGCAAGAAAAAGTATGTGAACCCTTTGGAATGATATGGATTTCTGCACAAATTGGTCATAAAATGTGATCTGATCATCATCTAAGTCACAAGAATAGACAATCACAGTCTGCTTAAAATAATAACACACAAAGATTGAAATGTTGCCATGTTTTTATTGAACACACCATGTCTACACTCACAGTGCAGGTGGAAAAAGTATGTGAACCCTTGGATTTAATAACTGGTTGAACCTCCTTTGGCAGCAATAACTTCAACCAAACGTTTCCTTTAGTTGCAGATCAGACGTGCACAATGGTCAGGAGTAATTCTTGACCATTCCTCTTTACAGAACTGTTTCAGTTCAGCAATATTCTTGGGATGTCTGGTGTGATTCGCTTTCTTGAGGTCATGCCACAGCATCTCAATCGGGTTGAGGTCAGGACTCTGACTGGGCCCCTTCAGAAGGCGTATTTTCTTCTGTTTAAGCCATTCTGTTGTTGATTTACTTCTATGCTTTGGGTCATTGTCCCGTTGCAACACCCATCTTCTGCTGAGCTTCAGCTGGCCTTAAGTGCTCCTGCAAAATGTCTTGATAAAGTTGGGAATTCATTTTTCCTTTGATGATAGCAATCTGTCCAGGCCCTGATGCAGCAAAGCAGCCCCAAACCATGATGCCCCCCACCACCATACTTCACAGTTGGGATGAGGTTTTGATGTTGGTGTGCTGTGCCTTTTTTTCCACCACACATAGTGTTGTGTGTTTCTTCAAAAACAACTCAACTTTGGTTTCATCTGTCCACAGAATATTTTGCCAATACTGCTGTGGAACATCCATGTGCTCTTGTGCAAACTGTATATGTGCAGCAATGTTTTGTTTGGACAGCAGTGGTATCCTCCCATGAAATCCATTCTTGTTTAGTGTTTTACGTATTGTAGATTCGCTAACAGGGATGTTAGCATTTGCCAGTGACTTTTGTAAGTCTTTAGCTGACACTCTAGGATTCTTCTTCACCTCATTGAGCAGTCTGCGCTGTGCTCTTGCAGCCATCTTTACAGGACGGCCACTCCTAGGGAGAGTAGCAGCAGTGCTGAATTTTCTCCATTTATAGACAATTTGTCTTACCGTGGACTGATGAACAGCAAGGCTTTTGGAGATACTTTTATAACCCTTTCCAGCTTTATGCAAGTCAACAATTATTAATCGTAGGTCTTCTGAGAGCTCTTTTGTGCGAGGCATCATTCACATCAGGCAATGCTTCTTATGAAAAGCAAACCCAGAACTGGTGTGTGTTTTTTATAGGGCAGGGCAGCTGTAACCAACATCTCCAATCTCATCTCATTGATTGGACTCCAGTTGGCTGACATCTCACTCCAATTAGCTCTTGGAGATGTCATTAGTCTAGGGGTTCACATACTTTTTCCACCTGCACTGTGAATGTTTACATGGTGTGTTCAATAAAACATGGCAACATTTCATTCTTTGTGTGTTATTAGTTTAAGCAGACTGTGATTGTCTATTTTTGTGACTTAGATGATGATCAGATCACATTTTATGACCAATTTGTGCAGAAATCCATATCATTCCAAAGGGTTCACATACTTTTTCTTGCAACTGTGTATGTATGTATATATATATATATATATATATATATATATATATATATATATATTCCATTCCCAACAATAGTTGCAGAACCAAAAGGGGACATATTTCTGTATGCTTATGGAACTGTAGCAAATCTGTATCACAAATATAAAAAATATTTATAAGACACTTGTTTAACAGGGAATTGTCACTTCCCAGGTTAATATTATGTTTACCTCCCTGTATTTAACAATTATTAGTGATTTGTGAGACTTGAATTAAATTACATTTAGAAATACACACCTTTTAATTCTGCAACTGGGCTTCTCTACTATCCTTTTCCCTAGTAAATTTTTTTTTTTATATATATATATATATATATACACATATACATATATATATATATATATATATATATATATATATATATATATATATATATATATATATATATATATAGTGTTCAAGTAGAGATTGTAGCTGTATTAGTCCAGTGATGTAGACGTGAAAAACAGATAAAATTCTTACCTTGTAATACCTTTTTTATTGGACTAACAGAATTTTTTAATGACAAGCTTTCGGGAGAACCTCCCTTTCTCAAGTCTGAAGCATTTCTGAGCAAAATGACACATTCAAAGTTGAGTTGTGATACAAGGGTTAAAGCGACATGAGTGTAGATAAGACACAGGTTTGTTAGAAAATAGACCCCCATCTTAGCAGAGGGTCATAAATATCTTGTTGAAGAGCAGAGTGAGGGAGGAGAGAGGGAAAAGAAAAACAAACAAGCAGACAGTGCACAGGATGGTACACTTTATACATGCACACACACATAAATATGTATATGTGAACGCATAAACACATGTACATATACATAAACACATATACATACATGCACATGAACTCATATACACAAATATAAATGCACAGTAATATATATAAGCATTCATGCATACAGGTATGGGAAAGCATAGGTCTACACATAGTACTTTGTATATAGATAGAATAAACATATAGGAATGCATTTTAAAGTGTTGGTACATATGACAGAATAGTAAGATAATGCTGGGAGAGTGTTCATGTAAAGTGTTGGTAGTGGGACAGGAATCCCAAATCAATATTTAGTCCTCTATTCTTGCTGTTAAACCATTTAATCATTCTGGCTTCAAATGCTTTTCTTTCCTGGGTATTTTTATCAGTACTTTGATTTTTAAGTCCTTCAGTGAGTGGCCAGGCTGGGTAAAGTGGTGTCCCACAGGAGTGCAGTATGATTCTTCTTTGTGGTGTTTAATAGAGTGTCTGTGCATATTCATTCTGCCATTTAATGGCTGGGTGGTTTCCCCAATGTAGTATCCTAGGTGGCATTTTATGCATTGAATCATGTATACCACATTGCTGGATGTGCAGGAGTATGGACCTTTAATGCTGTAGGTTTTATTGTTGTGTGTGGCTGTGTTGTCTGTGCATAGGTGCTGACACAGTTTGCAGCAAGGCTTTTTGCATTGACTAGTCCCGTTTTCTTCATTCTTACCATCAGTGGGCAGCTTCCTGTTGATTAATTTTTGATGGAGGTTTGGTGGTTGTCTGAAGGCCAAAATGGGTGTATCAGGGAAAATGATTTTCAGAGTCTCATCTTCTGTTAATATTGTTTGTAGGTCTTTGATGATTTTCCGTATTTCCTCAAGAGCTGGGTTGTAGGTGACCACAAGTGGCACTCGTGTGGATATTTTTTTCTCTCTATACTGTAGCAGGCGCGTCCGTGGTGTTTTTACAGCAGAGTTGATTTGTTTGGTAATAGTCTTTGGTTTAACACCACAACGAAGAATCATACTGCACTCCTGTGGGACACCACTTTACCCAGCCTGGCCACTCATTGAAGGACCTAAAAATCAAAGTACTGAAAGGGGGTTTTAAAAATACCCAGGAAAGAAAAGCCTTTGAAGCCAGAATGATTAAATGGTTTAACAGCAAGAATAGAGGACTAAATATTGATTTGGGATTCCTGTCCCACTACCAATACTTTACATGAACACTCTTCCAGCATTATCTTACTATTCTGTCATATGTACCAACACTTTAAAATGCATTCCTATATGTTTATTCTATCTATATACAAAGTACTATGTGTAGACCTATGCTTTCCCATACTCATATGCATGAATGCTTATATATTTACTGTGCATTTATATTTGTGTATATGAGTTCATGTGCATGTATGTATATGTGTTTATGTATATGTATATGTACATGTGTTTATGCGTTCACATATACATATTTATGTGTGTGTGCATGTATAAAGTGTACCATCCTGTGCACTGTCTGCTTGTTTGTTTTTTCTTTTCCCTTTCTCCTCACCTCTGCTCTTCTAAATTAAGATATTTAAGGACCTCTAAGCTATGATGGTACCTTATTTTTCTAAACAAACTACTGCAAATTCTACGTCGCGTTTTAAAACCTCTGCATCACAAACTCAACTTTGGAATTCTAAGTGTGTCGTTTTCGTTTGTGAAATTTGTGACTGGAGAAAAGGTTCTCCTTTAAAGTTTGCCAATAAAAAAATTTATAAATTCCACAAAAAGGTATTACAAGATAAGTAATTTCTGCCTGTTTTTACATATATATGACATATATAAGAAAGAGAATGTTTCAATAGAGAGATATATATATATATATATATATATATATATATATATATATATATATATATATATATATATATATATATGTATATATATATATATATATACACACACACACACATATACATACATATATACATATACATACATACATACATACATACATACATATATATATATATATATATATATATATATATATATATATACATATATATATACACACACACACACACACACGTCTGCATAGAGAGCATACAGAGAAAAGGAGATATGAAACAATGTTTCTATTTCTCCTGCTTATTTGTAATATTTGCCCTGACCAACAAAGATCTCATGTTCAATAGTGTTAATTATAGAAGAGTCCAAATTCCTTTTTAAAGTGAATCTATCACAAAATAAACAAACATCTCTTTAGCCACGAGGTGCAGGGGGAAAGTAACTGTACTTACCCGAAGCTGTCTTATGAAGCCGCTGGCATCTTTGCTCTGTGCATCCTCCTCACAGCTCTTGGCTTCATTTGTCAGGAGCCACGAGTGTAAATCACTGAGGTCTATAGAGCATCCCGCAACATTGCAGGCTCCTCCATAGATCAATGTCTGAATCCCACAGATGTTAACTGTGCCAGCTGCTGGGATTGTACAAAAGATGACAGCGGTAGTCCCTACTTCGCCTTAACGAATGTTTGGAATAGGGATCGACCGATTATCGGTCTGGCCAATATTATCGGCCGATATGATGTATTTTTGGCAATAATCTGTATCGGCCTATAGAGAGAGCGATATTGCAGATAATACATAACAGGACCGCCAGGCCCATTACAAGGCCGGCGGTCCTGGGGGGGCCCGCAGCAAGTGCTTACTTACCTTCCCAGCAGCTCCCTTCAGCTCCCTGTGTAAATCTTGCGAGTCCCGCATCCGTCAGAGCGGTGCCACGGGTTACCGTGGCAGCACGGCACGCTGGCCGCGAGAATTACACAAGGGAGCTGCTGGGAAGGTAAGTAATCGCTTGATGTGGGCCCCCTCTGTGCTTTCCATGTCACTGGACCACCAGGGAATGCTGTATCCCCCCTCCCTGGTCAAGTAAGAAGCAGGGAGGGGGGACTAAAAAAAAAATATATATATATTTTTATATATTTTTTTTAAATGTAAATAAAAAATGCCCCCTCCCCCCAAATTACATACCTACAGAAACACAGACATACACACACACTGCATTATATACACAAACACACTACACAAACTGTATTATATAAACACACTACACAAACACACTGTATATAATGCAGTGTGTGTGTTTGTGTAGTGTCTGTATAGTGAATGCAGTGTGTGTATATAATGCACACTACACAAACACACTGCATTATATATATACACACACACACACACACTACACACACTCTGCATTCACTTTACACACACTACACACACTCTGCATTCACTTTACACACACTACACACACACTCTGCATTCAATGCCCAATGCAGGATTGATCAGTATTTAATAAAGATCAGCATTTCATGAAGATTGTATCTTTATGAAATACAGATCAAGAATGCATCTTTATGAAATATTGAAAAGTTACAGAGCTGCTTTAAGTTTTATATTTTCAATAGCAGTAAAAGTAAAACAACCAACAACCAAAAAAAATTTAGTCTCAAGTTAAATTACATGAACTTTTAGTCAAAATTCAAAGAGATTTACATTGCAAATATTTGTATATTTGGAACTGCAAAAATTAACCATGAATTAAAAAAAAATATATATATATATATTAATAAAAATCACCTCTTCCAAGTAAATCCAGTATTTTTTAACACCTCTTCCGCTAAGGAATCAAGAATGTAGCATACTTCTCCTCCATAGCCTGCTTTTAACTTGGAAGGTGGGAAATCTGCATTGATACCCTGAAAGAGAAGAGGTTATATAACACAGAGTCAAGCAAAATCATTATACAAGTAATGAGACATTTCCTCCCACTAAATACATACAAATGATCGGGATTCTGAAAGAATTTTAGATATTGTGGAGTTGGGGTCATCATATTCCTGTGGTTGTTCGATGCGTCGTCCAGCTTTGTTTATTAGCCAAGCTGCGATAGTGCAAAACATGTAGAACTGCTCCCCTGAATTTGTTGGTAAAGCAAAATAGTGCCTAAACACAAACAAAAAGAAAGTCAAAACAGATATTTTAAACATTGTAGGATTTAATCTTTTGTTATACAAAAACACATTTCTTACTGAATGAAATAAATTGCCACAGACATTATGGACTGTGGCAGCAAATGCCTGGTAGCAAGGAAAGGGTTATCTTAAAGAGACACTATGCACCAAATCAACTTAAGCTTAATTTTTTAGTTTTGGTGTATAGCTCATGCCCTTGCAGACTAACCTATCTTCCCTTTAGAGGTTAAATCACTTTGTTTATGTAGCCCTAGCCACACATATCCTTGCTGTGTACTTACACTTCATTGTAAGACAGATCTAGTTTTTTCATATTCCTCTGTTGTACAGTGTCTTTATTTTAGAATGTCTTATTTCCTGCTCTGGCCATTGCCGGCTAGAACCTGCAGGAGCCTCATGCATGCGAGTTAACACAGCAGGAGATAGGAGCTTTTAAAGTAAAAGGACTATGCTGTGATCTGACTGAAAATGAAAACACCTTTTTCATGCAGGCTGAGTCAATCACAGACAAGGGAGGGATGGCTAGGGCTGCATAAACAGAAACAAAAATGATGAAGCCCGGAAGTAGGCAAAACCTGGCATAGTAACCAAAGACTGAGATACCCGGTATACTGGGTAACAATGGATGGTGAGAGACAGTTTGGAGTTTGTGGGACTCTCTGGATTATAGCAAAGTTACCAGGGGAAAACATTTATTATGTAAGTGTTTTATTAGGAAAGCGCCTGTGCATCAGCATTTTAACAGAGTGCATGTCCACTGAGATGCGGCGGAGCTTTGCAGAGACATACTACACAATTTGAGCTGTCTGTTACAGATGTTGAAGCAATCAAAAGAGTAGCTTAATTATTTTTATATAATTGTCCTGAGAGCAGGTGTAAACTCACTTGTGTTCTCACTGTTAAGTAGATATACTGCACAATCAAGGTTTTCCCATTAGCTTGTCAGGGAGAGTATAAGCCCTTAATTGTGGGTTGACTAAATGAAAGCTACTGGATGGACTTCAAAATTAAGAATCTGATAGTTTAAATAGCAATAATAATAGAAAAGTTCCCAAAGATAAGGGTGTATGGAGAGAAGGACCAACGTCTATCTCCCACAATACACTCAACTAAGGGTATGCCCACTAAGAGGGTATATAACGTCCCCTCATTAACAAAAGTGAATAGAGTACAAAATAAAAAATACTTCATTGAAAAATGATGTGGAGATTAGATAAAAAACATGGGGTCCGGGATGGGGGGATGGCTCATAGTCCATGAGATTATAATGATACATAAAGGAGGCAGCCAGGCAGATATAAATCACTGTATGGTGATACTATAAGCCAATAGGTAAATGGGAGCTTGTGTGTTCACAGTAGCATGTCATACTGAAGTATCTGTGATATGGCACATTTCAGGGAGCTCCTTGATGAGCAAAAATTATCTGCACAAAGTGTGATCAAACTCCTATTATGGGGATAACATCCAATAAATAGGGTGTAATTCCCTGGAGTTGTAAACCCATTAATTAAATGGTAAAGAAATCGAGTGGGAAAAGTGCTGACTACAACAGTGAGGTAGACTGGAATCGAAAGTGTATATTCTAAGTAAAGAGAAATAGAATCCGAAAGGAATTCCTCTTATATATGGTGATACCCAGATACCTCAATTCCTCTGGTTAGAGGTCAGCCCCACAGTTCAAAAAATGGTGAGCTGCTTGCAAGTACAGATCAAATAGCAGTATTAGAAATATATAACGATCGATAAGCCTAGTCCAGTCAGCCACTTTTCACTTTGCCGTCTGACTTTAGATATAGGCATACATTTCGAGTGAGCAGCTCAATATAGATAGTTAGATATACTCTTTATATCTGTTACCTATACGGTCACTATTTTTTATTTATTTAATTATTATTTTTTATTTTTCGTTTTGGGCAGCATGGGGCTGGGTATGTGGGGTTGATGTGCCTGTCGGCTGAGAGTCGTTTTCTATCTAGGAAGCAGGGGCAGACTTTGGAGCCATACTCTGTGTATAATTAGCTCTATCCTAGTGCAACATTGTACACCTTTTCTCTGAAGCAATAATCTTAAGGCACATAGAACTATGTTTAAAAACCTGATAACATTCCGTTACAAATTAGCAATATATTTCTAATACTGCTATTTGATCTGTACTTGCAAGCAGCTCACCATTTTTTGAACTGTGGGGCTGACCTCTAACCAGAGGAATTGAGGTATCTGGGTATCACCATATATAAGAGGAATTCCTTTCGGATTCTATTTCTCTTTACTTAGAATATACACTTTCGATTCCAGTCTACCTCACTGTTGTAGTCAGCACTTTTCCCACTCGATTTCTTTACCATTTAATTAATGGGTTTACAACTCCAGGGAATTACACCCTATTTATTGGATGTTATCCCCATAATAGGAGTTTGATCACACTTTGTGCAGATAATTTTTGCTCATCATGGAGCTCCCTGAAATGTGCCATATCACAGATACTTCAGTATGACATGCTACTGTGAACACACAAGCTCCCATTTACCTATTGGCTTATAGTATCACCATACAGTGATTTATATCTGCCTGGCTGCCTCCTTTATGTATCATTATAATCTCATGGACTATGAGCCATCCCCCCATCCCGGACCCCATGTTTTTTTATCTAATCTGTACATCATTTTTCAATAAAGTATTTTTTATTTTGTACTTTATTCACTTTTGTTAATGAGGGGACGTTATATACCCTCTTAGTGGGCATACCCTTAGTTGAGTGTATTGTGGGAGATAGACGTTGGTCCTTCTCTCCATACACCCTTATCTTTGGGAACTTTTCTATTAGCGTTTCTGTTGGGTTATGCCCTTCTATGCTGCCCATTTAGTCCTTCTTTGACTCCAGGAGTGGAGTGTTTCCAGTCCTGTAGTCACTGTTCTCTTTATTAAATAGCAATAAGGTGTTTGAATTGTAATGCACATTTATGGCTAGGTGTGTATGAATATAGGTATTTGAGAGGTGAATATATTGAAACATTGTATGTATAGTTGCACGGTCATTTGTTACTATTCTTTGCCTCTTGAGTTTAGCTCCACTGAGATAATCTACCAGGAAGTAAAAGGACAAATTGTAAATTTCTACAGAAATTGGCACATTTATAAATTAGCCTTGTTAAACCAAGTTCCCAAAAATAAACTTAATCTAATCTGCTTCTATATAGCTCTCTGTGTTTGACTCTTAGTGCCCTTGTTTTCATAACATACCTAAGGAAAGAAAAAGGAATATTTTTCCCATGTATAGCAGTCAAGTTGCAAAACTTAAGCAAAGTAGTGTATCAGTTGCCAATCAAATTCACCCACAATCCATCAGAAGGGCAAACAGCAGACACCATTGGCAGCAGAAAACAAAATGGCGCTAGGGTATTACCCATAAGTGATGCTGCCGTAGTTAGTATTCCATACTTACTGCAATTTCCTTTTCCTGACTGGTCTTTTCAAAAGAATTAGGGGGTAAGGCGCATTTACAGCTCAAGATTCATTTGACTAATTAAATTAATTATCTCTGTCAAGATAGCTAAAGAGCAGCTAGCTAACCCATACGCAACACTTATCTAGAAAAGACTGGAAAAGAAATTTACAATAAGAAATTACTCCTTTGAAAACAATATATAAAATGTAGTAGATTTATATTCAAAAACCCATCGGAAAAGAACAAAAATTGTATAAACTGGGCTTACTGGGATAAAAAAAAAAAAAAATTGTTACATAAAACAAGCTCATTCAAATGTGAATGGTTATCCAATCTGGGAATTGATTGGAGAATTTTACATTTTAGGTCAAAATAGCCAAAAAGGAAAAAATAAATAAAATAAACAAAAATACAAATCGCTAAATTACAGAATTTTCGAGTTTTAATATTGTGTCCTAAAATGTGAATTCCCTATTTAGTGAACAACCCGGATAGTGTTGTAGAACAAGGGTTGTTCATTCCACACATCATATGAATATCTAGCAGCACAACCAAATATAAAATCTTAGACAAAACTCAATATACATGAAAGGCACATTTTTTTTCTGTTTATGCATTTATATATTAAATAAGGACAAACCTCTATGCTATGTTGGACTCAGAAGAACAACAAATGTCTGCATTCACATTATTTTACAAATCAACCAGTAGAATGAGCAATGAAAGGAATATGTACTCAATTTTACATTGGTCATACAGAATTGTTAAAGGGACACTGTAGGCACCCAGACCACTTCAGCTCATTGAAGTGGTCTGGGTGCTGTGTCCCTTCTGCACCAAAGAAGTTCAATGTTTACATTGCAGCACTAAGTCTGCCCTCAGTGGCTGTCTATCAGACAGCCACTGGGGGGGGGGGCGCTTCTGGAATCGTAACAGACTTTCGGTCAGTTATCTAACACTGAACATCCTCACGCTCTGCATGAGGACCTTCAGCATCAGATTTGTCTCCATAGGAAAGCATTGATTCACTGCTTTCCTTTGGAGAGGTCTAATGCGCGTGCGGGACAGATCAGTGGGCGGAGCTTTGACCCAGTGCCGAGGGTTCAGGTAAGTAAATAAAGGGTTTTTACATTTATATTCAATGCTTCCTATGGGGATTCCGGCGATGCTGGAGGCCCTCATGCACAGTGTGAGGACATCCAGCATCGTTTAAAACACATTTTTGATAGATAGACAGCCACTAGAGAAGGATTTAACCCTGCAAGGTAATTATAGCAGTTTATAAAAACTGCAATAATTACACTTGCAGGGTTAAGGGTGGTGGGAGTTGGCACCCAGACCACTCCAATGGGCAGAAGTGACCTGGATGCCTGGAGTGTCCCTTTAAAGGCATAATGTAAGTGCCAGGAATACAAAGCTGTACTGGCACTATAGCCCCTCTGCCTCCCCCAATGAATAAAGGGTTAAAAAATAAATTTAAAAAATTACTTACCTTATCCCAGCGCCAATGTCCTTTGGCGCTAGATCGCCGCTCCACCTCCTCCGACTATCCTCAATGAGGGAACTCGGGAACTGTTTTACATTGCAGCACTACGTGCAATAGGGTCACTGCACCCAGACCACTTCAATGAGCTACCTATAACGTCCCTTTAAATACCACATATTTGCAATATTTCATACAAGCAAAATCCAACAGATATGGTCAGTGAACAACAACAGAGTATAGGTGCTCACTATGTACTCAAGAGACAGGAAAGGGGCTGCAGATTATCACACATGATTTCCCCAACCTGGTGACGACAAAAATGAAACAAAGAAATTAGATAATCCGCGCCTACAATCAATGAATCAACTGGTGAGATCACACAGATATGAAAATGTATACAGGTAGTTCCCGACTTTCCAAATGAATTGGTTCCGTAGCCTAGTTCATAAAGTGAGAACTAAATTCCCATAGACCGCAATGTAATAAACATGGGTTCCGTGCCTGACCAACAAATGTTTCCATTGAAAACCTTAATTATGAAGTACAAATACAAGGTGAAAGCATAGCAAATACATATATGTTGTAAGAACATTAAAAGAAGACATCCCATATTGAAAACTTCATCACTTATCTTCCTCTTCAACCACATGTTGCACTTGTTGAATGTAGAACTGCACTTGTTTCTGGTTCGTTTAAGACGCTCCATGTGTCTCATTCCCAGTGTCTTATTACCCCCTCCAATCCCTTCCAGGTGTCTGCTTCCCCCTCTCAGTGTCTCATTGACCCCTCCCAGCCCCCCCCCCAAACCTCTCCATGTGTCCCATTCCCCCTCCCAGCCCCATCCACATGTCCCATTTCCCCTCCTAGCCCAATCCATGTGTCTATCCTCCCTCCCCTATTGTACCTGTCAATGTGTCTCTCCATGTGTCCCATTCCCCCTCCCAGCCCCATCCACATGTCCCATTTCCCCTCCTAGCCCAATCCATGTGTCTATCCTCCCTTCCCTCCTGTGCCTGCCCATTTGTCTCTCCCCCCTTCCTTCCTATACCTGCCAAGGTGCCTCTCGCTCCTCCACTTCTGTACTTGTCCATGTGCCTCTCCTCCATCCCTTACTTTCAGGTGTCTATCCCCCTTCCCGTCCTGTAACTGATCACCATGGTACAGTACCCGGTCTGCCAGGAAGTGCTCTCTCAGTGAGCACTTCCTGGCAGACTGCAGTCCGCTCAGCCACACTACAACAGCGGCAGGAGGGGAGCAGCTCAGCACAGCACTCCCCTCCTACCGATCATCATCATTGTTACTCACCTTTCTCCTCTCCTGGCCACAAACTCTGCTCCTCGGTTTGCATCCACGGAGCGCCACCAGCACAAAATGTCGGCAAAATAAAATGGCAGCGGGTCCGTGGAGCGTTTATAAAGGCGGGAGTACGTAAAGCAGGAAATGAGTGTACATACATATGTTTAACAAGACCTTGTTAGTAGATGGATCTCTCAAAAGGAGAGAAAGCAAACAATATAAGTGCAATATGTTTTTAAATTGTGAAGTAGTGAAATTGATGAAAGCACACTCACAATTTCCAGATGTCTGGATTACTAGTTGATCCAGCACGTAGAATTGTGTCACACAGAGGACTAATAGGTAACGTATTACCGGGCCTTAGAATGGCTGGATTTAATGCATCAAAGAATAGTCAGGGTACTTGCAGAGGTCAGGGGACACAGAACGAGATACAACAATAAGGGAAAGCCAAAAGTCAAGGATACCAGAATACAGGGAAGTCAAATGAGGCCAAAGTAAAAAAACAGAAAATAAACACTGAGGAACACACTCTTGGACAACCACTAGGGAAAGCACAACAGGGCAATGAGAAAAAGTAATTTTGAGCTTAAATAACTGCTTTACATTTCTGATTGGCCGAGAAAGGTCTTTGACCCCAAAACGTGCGCGTGCGTCTCCCGCGTGATGTCACGCTGATGTCGTCATTAACGTGGGCGGACGTGGGGGTATAATTTGGCGTGGATCTGAAGCAGCCGGTGTCCATTAACATGTTGCAAGTGTCATTTGTACAGAAGCTCGGCCGCTGGGTGCAAATACCGCAATGTGAGGAGGAATATGTTACACCAGAGCTATATAGAGCTCTGCTGTTGAAAGCGTGGATGGTATAATCCCCGTCTAAGGATGATGGTCAGTGAATCTTAACAATTTGGATTAAAATATATGTTATTGGTGTGGTAACTTGGCTCATCACATACAATAGTTTGGACAGCAATATGAGTCATTAGCATTTTTCCCCTTACCTGGAGACTGGCTTAATGTTGTGCTTCATCAAAACCTCCTCTTCATAGTTAAGCAATTTCAGTTTGTCAAATAAGTCCTCCATAAGCACAAATGTCTGAAAGACAGCTCCTGGACCAATATCATCCTCCTCCACTCTCCTACTATCTTCTGCCATACTCAATGGTATTTACACGCAACGATCTTCTTTTTAGATGGCAGACGTATAATATTACCTTTTACATGTGGGACTTGAAAATGAAAAAAACTGCAAAAAGAAATAAATACAATAAAAATATTTTTATACAAGTATCAGAGTAGCACTATAAATACATTTATTACCAAAAAAAAAATCAAAATATATAAAATATCACCCTCCTGGTTACACTTGTAGTTTATAAAAACAGTCATATAAGGCAAGAAATAGAAATCTGATGTAATTGAAAAGGTCTCAAACTGAGTAGATGATATGCACAGGAAATAATCACCACAGTAAAACCACAAACTATCAATGCAGATCCAAAACCGTAGTTCAGAAGAACCTAGATATCCATCAAAAGTCCTCAAACCAGTCCCAAAAAATTCCCCTGACCACAAACTTTCTGATAAGCAGCCCCACAAGCCACAAGTAGATACCCTCTACGTAGAAAAAAAAAAATTAAAAAAAGACAAAAATAAAAAGACAAAACCTCGCTGAAGATAAATGAGAGTCCCATATACAAAAACCAAGCAAGGGAGTGTAGTGCCCTAATCATCTACATGTTTCATTCACTTACTGAACTTTCTTAACCCCTTAAAGGAATTTGTGCTATTTGTCTGTTCAGGCGTAATTCACCTCTTTCATAAAGTGCACCCACATATATTATATATCATTTTATTCAGGGGAAACAGGACTTTCATTTATCATCAAATATTTAGGTATGAAACATAATTTAATATGAATATAATAAATAAATAAATAAATGGGAGAAAATAAGAATTTTGAAGGAATTTTTAGTTCTACGTGACATTTTAACTGTGAATGTCATAATATTGTTTGCTTTTACTGCAATAAAATACACATATTTGTATTCAGCGATGTCTCACGTGTAAAACAGTACCCTCTATGTACAGGTTTTATGGTGTTTTGAGAAGTTACAGGGTCAAATATAGCATGTTACGTTTTTTATTTTTTTCCCATTGAAATTCACCAGATTGGATATGTTGCCTTTGAGACCGTATGGTAGCCCTGGAATTAAAATTACCCCCATGATGGCATACCATTTGCAAAAGTAGACAACCCAAGGTATTGCATATGGGGTATGTCCAGTCTTTTTTTAGTAGCCACTTGGTTACAAACACTGCCCAAAGTTAGTGTTAATATTTGTGTGTGAAAAATGCAAAAAACTAAATTTGAACGCCAATTCTGGCCAGTGTTTGTGACTAAGTAGCTACTTTAAATAACTGGACATATCCCATTTGCAATACCTTGGGTTGTCTACTATTGCAAATGGAATGCCATCATGGGGGTAATTTTCATTCCTGAGCTACCATACGGTCTCAAAGGCAACGTAACCAATCTGGCAAATTTCAATGTGAAAAAACTGAAAGCCTTATATTTGACTCTGTAACTTTTAAAAACACCATAAAACATGTACGAGGGGTATTGTTTTACTCATAAGACTTCGCTGAAGACAAATATTAGTGTTTCAAAACAGTAAAACGTATCACAACAATATCGTCCGTGTAAGTGCCATTTGAGTGTGAAAAATGCAAAAAATTTCACTTTTACTGACAATATCATTGTTGTATACATTCTACTGTTTTGAAACACTAATATTTGTGTTCAGCGAAGTCTTCTGAGTAAAACAGTACCCCCCATGTACAGGTTTTATGGTGTCTTGGAAAGTTACAGGGTTAAATATAGTGCTAGCTAATTAAAGGACCACTATAGGCTCAGACCACTTCAGCTTAATGAAGTGGTCTGGTTGCCAGGTCCAGCTAGGGATAACCTTTTTTTTTTTTTTTAAATATAAACATAGCAGTTTCAGAGAAACTGCTATGTTTATAAATGGGTTAATCTAGCCTCTAGTGGCTGTCTCATTGACAGCCGCTAGAGGGCTTCCGCGCTTCTCACTGTGAAAATCTGTGAGAATACTCTAGCGTCCATAGGAAAGCATTGTGAATGCCTTCCTATGGACTGGCTGAATGCGCGCGTAGCTCCTGCCGCGCATGCGCATTCAGCCGAAGAGGAGGAGAGGAGAGCTCCCCGCCCGGCGCTGGAGAAAGAGGTAAGTTTAACCCCTTCCTCCCCCTAGAGCCTGGCGGGAGGGAGTCCCTGAGGGTGGGGGCACCCTCAGGGCACTATAGTGCCATGAAAACGAGTATGTTTTCCTGGCACTATAGCGGTCCTTTAAATTCCCTATACTTTCGGCCTGGATTGTCAGGCAGGTCCCGCAAATTGTAATTAATAAAACAACCTAATTAAGTAAATATATATATATATATATATATATATATATATATATATATATATATATATATATTAAGCCCATTTCGAGCACAGTAGAGAGAAACTGCTATGTTTATAAAAAAAAAGGGTTATAGTGTATGGAGTCCCCTGGTGCCATCATTTCTTTCAGCATTAAACAGTTTTTAATGTTGTAATGTTTTAATGCTAAACAAGAGACCCCGGCAGTCCATCCCCTCTGTGCTGCTTTGGCTAATAAGGAAGTTTTACCCTGAGCAGCAATGGTCAATGTGATTGGCTGAGAGTGTCAGCTGACTGCTTTTAACCTGTCAGAGCTCCAACTGACGGTATGAATGGGTATGACAACAAGGAAGTGTGTAATCTCTGCCTTAGCTACACATACTGAAGGGGCCGGACTGTGGGTGGCCAGGGACTCTTACTTTGTGGCGTACAGTACAAACATGGTGCAACATTGAATGGAGGGACAGTGCCAGAGCACTCCAGGCACTATAACCAATTCAAAGAGACAAAGTGGTTATAGTGATTACAGTGTCCCTTTAACCCTAGCTGGACCTGGCACCCAGACCACTTCATTAAGCTGAAGTGGTCTGGGTGCCTATAGTGGTCCTTTAATGTTCATGTTGCATCATATGAACATAATATAAATAGTGAACCACTTATTATAACTATATTGGAAAAAATTAATATCATCTAGTATACTCATTTATAATTCCCAGATAGAAAAATTACTCAATTGCAGCATTTTCATGTACCATATAATCACTAGGCTAAATCATATTGAAAAAGACTCGTAGGGGTCGAAACCTCGATTTTTTTTTTTTTTTTTTTGCTGTATGCACATTATTTAAATAAACCACAGTATTTTTTAACAAAGACCTGAGAGTGCATCCTGGATCTTTATATATATAATCCAAGTGTATATATAATTTAATTTTAAACTGTTTTAACTTTTTTTTTTTTATACAGGCAGCAGGGGGAGTACCTGTCATTTCAGGCATTGCTGTGGACGGTTATGCCGTCCATGTGATCGCGAGGTCCTCGCGATCACATGCCCCAGGGGGGCTGAAACCAATGGAGTGAGACTCCCAGGTGAGTCCCCACACCGCGATCGTCGGCGACCGGGGACGTGCTTTGCCGCCCGCGTTTAGAGCCGGTTCCCCAAGGACTGCATAACACGCCCGCCATCCTTAAGGGGTTAATATGTCTTTAGAACTGAAATAATCCCTAATTCAGCTATGCATCTAATTTGGCTATTTCAACTTAAATTTTCACACTGGGCCCAGTGGTTTCTAGTTACGCCTCTGGGACTGTCCCTCCTAAACAGCAACAGTTTGGAGTTATGATTATCCTGTAACTCACTACTTCACTTTTCACGTGTCCCATTTAAAACTATCAACATATAGCCAAGGACCTCTGAATCTTCTGTCTATACTACTAGGGTTTGTTCATATGTACCATTGGCTAATAATATACATAAATATTATCATAAACAAAAACACAATTTATTTTTCACTATAATACTGATAATGGTTTCCCTCATTAAACATATTACTTTTCATGTTTTAGTTTCCAGTGCAGTAATCCGCTTGCTGTGTTTATTTCTATAATAAGCATGTTTATTATTTTGGATTGCCTACATTATTTCTGAGGGGTGGGAAACATTACCCAGTGATAACAGGGGCTGTAACCCCTGCAGTATCAGAGCGCCGTATACAGTGCTTCAAACATTCACTTACCTCCAAATACAATGAAAACAGCAATATGTTTGCAGCATTAAGTGGAGGCAGCCATGACAATCAGCCAGCACCCGCTGTGCCCTGGATACACCAACACACAGCAATGCTCTGTTGCTAGGAGGGGAGTTACCAAGACAGTCAGGACGGGACTGGCTAAAAGTATAATGACATTAATTAAACATTACATTAGAACACTGACTAACACTGAGAAGAACTGCAAGGCACGCAGTGTACAAACCATGCTACATATTAAACGAAGTGAATACTATAATAATAATAATAATAATAAGCGCCTGGATAGCGACACCGAACAGAGGGCTATAACATGGCGCACGGTAATGACGCAATCAGACAGTTCCGCCATCTTACATTTGGGCAGTCGTTGTAGCGTACCCATGGCATGAGCTGTAGTTGTTGTTAGTGAAATAACAGGACGGCCCGGAGCGGTGTCTTGCTACGTTTGCCGTGAGAGTTAATACATTGCTTCACATTTTGGAATGTCAGCTAAACATCCATCTGAGCTCAAATTAATGGAAGGAGCAGAATTATAAATAATGAAAGCTACATAAGTTTACGTGAATAGGAATTTTAAAATGTCCACAAACGTGTACTGAAAAGTGGTGCAAACATGGAGCGGAGTCAACAATGCAATGTGCCTGCTGTTTCCATGGCGACTGCCCCCAACTTTTCATACGCTCTAGAACTCGTTACAGTATACATTACTATTCACCACATTCCTGTCAATGTATAACTAGTAGTGTTATGTCATTCTCTGATCTCAAATATATTGACCAAATTCTAATTGTAGTTAACAAAAACAGCTAGTGTTAGTAGAATTGTAGAGTAGTTTTAATTCAGCTATTTTTACTTATGATATTTAATGAAAAAAAATTGCATCCAGGGTCTACCTTTATTTCATTTATCCTACAAGTATATGGACTGCATATTCTTTCTCCTGTCACAAGAATCACCTGTGATGCTTAATTACTCCTTAAAAGTCTCAAAGACTCTGATTTCATTTCCTTTTTAATGTCATATCTTGTGAAGCAATACCAAACAAGATTGTTATTAATGATTTTTATTTCAAGACCTTATTTATTTTTTATTTTTTTTATTCTTTATTTTATCGTGCAATGGTTATCCAAGTTACATTTACGCCAGCAATGCCACAACAGCTAATGCCAGGGTTTCCATAAACATATATAGACAATTGTACGGCATGGATAAACTGTGCACATTTTTAAATTTAATTTAATAGGAGTAGACAGTAGTGTGTGTGTGAGAGGCTGTATAGGTTTATCCACTGACTATGTGAAGAAAAGTGTAGCAGAAGCTTAATGAATGAATGAATGACTGAGTATTTCTGAGTAGGCAAACGTTTCACTAAACTAGTTTATTAGGTAGCTTGGAAACAGCAATAAGAGAAAGCATCAGCCATGTGAGATTATAACTTTGTGATTTTCCACCCCAGCAGGGCCGTCTAAAATATGATTAGGACCCTGGGCAATGCATTTTTTGGGCCACATGGGCCCTGTCCCTGCCACTGCCTCACCCCCCAATTACGTCCAACCCGCAATCACACTGACAGACGTACTGGCACATACACACACAGACAGACATTAAAATATTCACAGATACATACTGACACACACAGTCACTACACACAAATATATACTGGCAGACATACTGACACACACACAGACATACATACATACATACATACAGACACATACATTAACAGATATACTGACACACACACAAACACATACACTGACAGATATACTAAAACACACAGACACATACACTGACAGACACATTGACACACACACACACAGGCATACTGACATATACACAGACAGGCATACTGACATATACACAGACAGACGTAATGGCTGATACAGACAGACATTAAAACATTCACAGATATATACTGACACACACATACACTGACATACAAATATATCCTGGCAGACATACTGACACACACACACACACAGACATACATACACACACATACACTGACAGACATACTGACTGACACACACATACACTGACAGACATACTGACTGACACACACATACACACACAGACATACTTACATACACACACAGACATACTGACACACAAAGACATGCTGACACACACACACAGACATACTGACATACACACAGACAGACGTACTGGCACATACACACAGACAGACATTAAAACATTCACAGATACATACTGACACACACATACACTTACACACACACACAGAGACATACCTACATACACACACACACAGACATACTGGCATACACACAGACATACTGACACACACACACACACAGACATACACAGACATACACACACACACACACACACTGACATACACACACAGACATACTGGCATACACACAGACATACTGACACACACACACAGAGACATACTGGCATACACACAGACATACTGACACACACACAGACATACTGGCATACACACAGACATACTGACACACACACACACACACAGACATACTGGCATACACACAGACATACTGACACACACACACAGACATACACACACAGACATACTGACACACACACACTGACATACACACACAGAGATACTGGCACATACACAGACATACACACACAGACAGACCTACTGACATACATTTAGCCACCCTCCAGGTTCTTACCTTTTCCTGGAGGGTGGTTTCCCTGGTCCAGTGGCAGGCTGAGGCAGATGGGAGTTCTCCTCTTGAACTCCCCTCCTCCCTGCCTTCCTCCTCCCGCGCGGCTATCTCCGGTGGGAGGAAGTGACGTCACTCCTCCCAGCCGGCTGCAGAACCAGAAGAGGGGCCCAGTCACGCTGTTTAAGTGCCACAGCGCCCGACCGGGCCCCTGCTGACACATGCTCCCCGGGTGGCCCTTAGTGCATGGGCCACCCGGGGAGCCTCCTCAGTGTGCGGGAGCCGCAAATCGCGGGGCCCACAGAGCAGCTTCTCTGGGCCCCCAGGAGCAACTGGGCCCGGGGCTGCTTCCCCATTTGCCCCGCGTTAAAGACGGCCCTGCACCCCAGGTGATCCCTGTGCCAGCAAGATGACAGTCAGTGGCTATGTATCATGAGACCCGCATTAATAAAGAAATAGAGAGGGACATAAGCCTGAAAACTGCTATAGTAGTTGTAGTCCAGGTGAGTGTCAGAGTGTTAGTCCCCATGTGTTTAATTTGCGCCTCAGCCGTTTGCCCGCCACAGGCAGGATACAGATCCCAATAGCCTTGCTGATCTTCAGGTTCAGCAACACAGCTGCAGGCAGTCAGCTCATGTGTTTCGGCCCCCACGCGGCGGTCTGGGAGGTATGGCAGGTAAGACTAGGAAGCTGGAGCAGTGTCTCCTTCTGAGGGTTGTATATTTGGGCATGCTTGGGTATTAATTTGCAGGTGCCAACCTCCACTGGTCGCTTTAGTGCTGCTTTCGTTGGCTTGGTGTGCCTCTGGCTTCTTCGTCATAACTTAGCTCGTCCCAGGTTCGGTCCCCAGATTCCAAGTGGGGTCTTAGCAGGTATCCGCCGGTTACCGTTCAGTCCGCTCTGGCAGTCCGCCAGTGAGGAGGGAGTATTTTTCCCTCTTGCATAGGTGGCTCGTCACGCGGTCTCCACCATTTTGGATGCTGCCTCTGAGGCCTGGGTCGACACCACCGCAGCTCAGAGTGCTGGTGACTTTGCACATGTAGGGGCCATAGGGTGGGGACCAGGATCACCCCCACCGGTCAAGAGGTGGGGGGGAACAGGGCCAGTTCCACCTAGCCTTGTGCTTCTGGCATGACGCTGGTAGGCAGGATAGCAGAGCAGAGACTGTCCACCCCACTCACAGCCTGAGCGATCCCCATCTTAGCTGACGGGGAGCACCCCTTCAAGGGACTAGAACTATACAGCAAGCCTCTCCTCAGAACCAGAATGTCTTCTTGCACTGAGTCACAGCTGCCAGTCGTCAGGTAGGTACTAATTTGGTGTTTTTGGGCTAAAATTAGAAAGGATTGCAGGACCTGCTCTGTTGTGCAACCATTCAGCATGGCGGTCCGGCTCCACCCCTCTTCCCCTCCCCCCAAGACCTTAATTTTACAAAAGTCTACAAAGGTGAAATTATATTATTTAAATAAATAATGTTCCTTTAAAGTTCCAAATAACAAATTAATTCATTGACAGCATTACAATTAGATACAGGACCGCGATTAATTGTTATCTGTACAGATTGCTATTGTTCTTGAATATTGGTTGTTGCACAGACATATGACTCTCATGCTAAACTGGACACATAATCTATTCCATAATCTATTCCACACATATGACTCTCATGCTAAACTGGACACATATTGTATTCCACACCGTCTTATGTTTTATACACATCATGTTTTATACACATGGCATCAGCACACACACATTACATACAGTGAGGGGAAAAAAGTATTTGATCCCCTGCTGATTTTGAACGTTTGTCCACTAACAAAGAAATGATCAGTCCATAATTTTAATGGTAGGTGTATTTTAACAGTGAGAGACAGAATAACAGAAAAAAATACAGAAAAACGCATGTCAAAAAAGTTAAAAATTGATTTGCATGTCAATGAGTGAAATAAGTTTTTGATCCGATTTGATTTGATCTAATCAGCAAGGTGTATTTTATACAGGTAACGAACTGAAATTAGGAGCACTTTCTTAACCCCTTCTTGACCGCGGTCTTCCGATGTTCTGCCTGTACTGAGTGTCTTGAGGGGTCGAGGCACTCAGTAAAAATAAAATTTTTTATTACATTTTAAAAAGCATTAAATTTAAAAAAATGAACCCCCACCTTCCCTCCCTCTCCCTCCGCCACCCCATGTGACCTCTCTAAAAGAAAGGTCACATGGCCACTATAGGTGTATATGGTCCTATCAGCAGGGGGGCTGCCTGAACTGACAGGCAGACCCCCTGCTGGTGAAAAAGTTAAAATAAACTTAATAAACGTAAAACTGATCCATGGGGACCTACTAGGGGTAGGGTTAGAGGAAGGTTGGGGTAAGGGTTAGGGTTAGATTCCTGTCATCATTCCCTTATTTTACCTCCTTCTCCTTCTCTGAAGCACTTCGGCACTTCCGAAATTTGGCACTTCGGCAATTCGGTTCGGATCGACACTTCCGAAATTCGGGACTTCCGAAATAAGGTGCGGCACTTCAGAAATTCGGCAATTCGGAAGCATCCAAATGTCCGAATTGCCGAAATTCGGCCACATTTTAATTCGGACCGAAACTAATTGCACATGTCTAATGGGGGGGTATTGTTATACTCGGGAGACTTCACTGAACACGAATAGTAGTGTTTTAAACAGTAAAACGATTAAATCACCAGTAAAAGTGCAGTGTTTTGGTAAAAAAATACAAAAAAACAAACAAAAACACTAACTTTGGCCAGTGTTTGTGACTAAGTGGCTACTACAAAAGACTGAACATACCCCATTTTGAATACCGTGGGTTGTCTACTTTTACAAATAGTATGCGATCATGGGGTTAATTTTCATTCCTGGGCAGCTATACAGTCTCAAAGGCACCATAGGCCCAGCAAACCAATCTGGTAAACTTCAATGTGCAAACATGGAAAAGGGGAAAGCCCTACATTTGACCCCTGTGTTTGCAAAAACCTATAAAACCTGTACATTGGGGGTACTGTTGTACTCGGTAGATGTTACTGAACACATATTAGGGTGTTTTTTTGTCAATAACACATAACAGGAATTGAGAATCCATGTCTAAAGTACAATGTGAGCAAAAAATAACACAAAAAAATGACTACCCAATAGTTTGACAAAGACTGGTAGTAGAATTAGTGCATGGAAAGTGTTAAAATACAACCATTTGAAATACCCTAGGGTGTCTTCTTTTCAAAAATATATGGTTTGATTGGGGTAAATTACATTGGCCGGCTTCAAAAATGTCCCAAATAGGACATGGGTGCATGATGACCAGCTGTGTAGATTCCAAGTTGGGAAACTGGAATGCGCACCCTCCAAATAAGGTCTTTTAGGCACCAGAGAACTGGACACACCTATACATAGGGGGGATCACTGTACTCAGAAGATGTGGCTGAACACATATTGGGGTGTTCTTTGGCAGTAACCCTTAAGGTTCTCTGTACATGTATTCTTAAATTGCTATATGTGGCAAAAAAATCACCAATTATTATTATTTTTTTTAAATTTGGCATAGATTGGTGGTAAAATTGTTGCATGAAAAGAGTCAAAATACCCCAGGTTTAATACCTTAGGTTGTCTTCTTTTAAAAAAGATATACATGTGAAGGGTTATTCATGGATTCCTGACAGATATCAGTGTTACAATGTAACTAGTGTTAATTTTGAAAAAAAAAATGGTTTGGAAATAGCAAAGTAGTTCTTGTACTTGTAGCCCTATAACCAGGGCCGTCTTTAACGCGGGGCAAACGGGGCAGCTGTCCCGGGCCCAGTTGCTCCTGGGGACCAGAGCAGCTGCTCTGTGGGCCCCGCGATTTGCGGCTCCCGCACACTGAGTCGGGCGCTGTGGCGCTTAAACAGCGCGACCGGGCCCCTCTTCTGGTTCTGCAGCCGGCTGGGAGGAGTGACGTCACTTCCTCCCACTGGAGATAGCCGCGCGGGAGGAGGAAGGCAGGGAGGAGGGGAGTTCAAGAGGAGAACTCCCATCTGCCTCAGCCTGCCACTGGACCAGGGAAACCACCCTCCAGGAAAAGGTAAGAACCTGGAGGGTGGCTAAATGTATGTCAGTAGGTCTGTCTGTGTGTGTATGTCTGTGTGTATGCCAGTATGTCTGTGTGTGTGTGTCAGTGTGTGTGTCAGTATGTCTGTGTGTGTGTGTGTGTCAGTATGTCTGTGTGTGTGTGTGTGTGTCAGTATGTCTGTGTGTATGCCAGTATGTCTGTGTGTGTGTGTGTCAGTATGTCTGTGTGTATGCCAGTATGTCTGTGTGTGTGTATGTAGGTATGTCTCTGTGTGTGTGTGTACGTGTGTGTCAGTATGTCTGCCAGGATTTATTTGTGTGTTAGTGTATGTGTGTGTCAGTATGTATCTGTGAATGTTTTATTGTCTGTCTGTGTGTATGTGCCAGTACGTCTGTCTGTGTGTATGTCAGTATGTCTGTGTGTGTGTGTCAGTATGTCTGTGTGTGTATGTAAGTATGTCTGTGTGTGTATGTGTGTGTCAGTCAGTATGTCTGTCAGTGTATGTGTCTGTGTGTGTATGTATGTATGTCTGTGTGTGTGTGTCAGTCAGTATGTCTGTCAGTGTATGTGTCTGTGTGTGTATGTATGTATGTCTGTGTGTCAGTATGTCTGCCAGGATATATTTGTATGTCAGTGTATGTGTGTGTCAGTATATATCTGTGAATGTTTAATGTCTGTCTGTATCAGCCATTACGTCTGTCTGTGTATATGTCAGTATGCCTGTGTGTATATGTCAGTATGCCTGTGTGTATATGTCAGTATGCCTGTGTGTGTGTGTGTCAATGTGTCTGTCAGTGTATGTGTCTATGTGTTTTAGTATATCTGTCAGTGTATGTGTTTGTGTGTGTGTCAGTATATCTGTTAATGTATGTGTCTGTGTATGTATGTATGTATGTCTGTGTGTGTGTCAGTATGTCTGCCAGTATATATTTGTGTGTAGTGACTGTGTGTGTCAGTATGTATCTGTGAATGTTTTAATGTCTGTCTGTGGGTGTATTTGCCAGTACGTCTGTCAGTGTGATTGCAGGTTGGACGTAATTGGGGGGTGAGGCAGTGGCAGGGACAGGGCCCATGGGGCCCAAAAAAATGCATTGCCCAGGGTCCTAATCATATTATAGACGGCCCTGCCTATAACTTTCCAAAAAAAGCTAAGAACACGTTAACATTGGGCATTTCTAAACTAAGGGGTTAAAGTGCTTGCTCCTAATCTCAGCTTGTTACCTGTATAAAAGACATCTGTCCACAGAAGCAATCAATCAATCAGATTTCAAACTCTCCATCATGGCCAGGACCAAAGAGCTGCCCAAGGATGTCAGGGACAAGATTGTAGACCTACACAAGGCTGGAATGGGCTACAAGACCATCACCAAGCAGCTTGATGAGAAGATGACAACAATTGGTGTGATTATTCGCAGATGGAAGAAACACAAGATAACTGTCAATTTGCATTAAGCACAGCATTGGACATACGCATATATTTTTCATTGGACTAATTTGCAAATACCATTGCAACACCACTAGCAACACGTGCTAGTATCATAGATACTGTTGGCATTATTGCTATTTGTATCACCTGGATACATTTTTTGTGATGATTTTTTGCTCCATCTCACACAGAAATCTGACTTAGAAATATACACAGGATCTACCTTCTACCAGGACCATTATTGCCTATTTTTAATAAAGCCAGTCATCTGCACTGTTTAGTAGACGTGTCACATCAGATATAGGAGTAGCCTTATAAAGCTAAGTTGTTTATAAATAGTTTAAGTTTCTGTTGCAATAATTTCTTCCTCTTCCCCCCCCCTATTTTTCAGATTTAACCCCTTAAGGACACATGACATGTGTGACATGTCATGATTCCCTTTTATTCCACGAGTTTGGTCCTTAAGGGGTTAAAGGGAGAGGGGCTTACTACAATTTTCCTCCTTATATCCCCTTCTTACCAGTCTATGCAAAGACCATCCATGCTGAGTTTACACACCCTTTGACCCTGTATTAAGCACAGCACTTGACAGACGTATATATTTCCACATATATTGGTACTTTCCTCAATTTACCAACACAACCAGTGGCGTACACATGACCCATGGGGCCCTGGTTTACTCGGTGCGGGTTGGGGCAGAAACATATGGCGGCGGGCAACGGGTCGCAGGGGTTGCAGGGCTGCGACCCCGCGACCAAGGTATGCACACACACTTAAAGGACCACTACAGACACCCAGATCACATCAGCTCAATGAAGTGGTCTGGGTGCCAGGTCCCTCTACTTTTAACCCTGCCACTGAAAACATAGCCGTTTCAAAGAAACGGCTATGTTTCACTGAGGGTTAATCCAGCATCTGGTGGCTGTCTCATTGACAGCCGCTAGAGGAGCTTCCGCGATTCTCACTGTGAAAATCACATTGAGAAGACACTCAACGTCCATAGGAAAGCATTGAGTAATGCTTTCCTATGGGCGGTTTAAATGCGCGCGCACGCCTCTTGCCGCGCATGTGCATTCGGAGCTGAGAGGCGGAGGGATCCCCAGCGCCAAGGGAGTCCGACGCTGGAGAAAGGTAAATGCTAAAGACACACACACTCTCACGAACAGACGCATACACAATAGCTAACAGACACACACATTTACTGACAGAGACACACTCAGTGACAGACATACATACACACTCACTTACAAAGCATACACTTTCACTGACAAACACACTCACTAACAGACATCAAACACACTCAGTAACAGACACACACAGTAACACACTCACTAGCAGACACACACCCAATAACAGACACACTCACTAACACACAAACACTAACACAAACACACACTGACACATACACACAAACACTAACATACACACAAACACTAACACACACACACTAACACACACGCTAAAACACACACACACTAGCACACAAACACACATACACACGCTAACACACACACACACACTAACACACACACTAACACATTTTTTTTTAAAAATTGAATCCCCCCAGCCTCCTTACCTTTTGGAGAGCTGAGGGGATTCCCTGGGGTCCAGTGGTGCTGCTGACCCCGGCGGGCAGGCTGGCTGTCTGGGTGGCCGGTGCGCGAGGGAGCACTTTCCCCTGTGTGCTTCCTCTTCAGCTCCCTCGCGCGCCACATAGGGATGCCGGGGCCGGAAGATGAAGTCATCTTCCGGCTCCGGTATCAGTATGGTGCGCGAGGGAGCTGAAGAAGAAGCACACAGGGGAAAGTGCTCCCTCGCGCACCGACCACCCAGACAGCCAGCCGCGACCCCTGCGACCCTGGTATGTACGCCACTGAACACAACATCAGAAGTAACACATGCTAGTATTATCAATACAAATGTCATGATTACTTTGTATATTATTTTGATACACATACTGTGATGATCTTTGCTCAAACCTGACTAATATACATACAGAATTTACCTTACAATGGACCTACTTTTTACCAACAATTAAGCCAGTCATGTATACCGGATGGTAGACCTGTCTCCTCTAATATATGAATAGCCTTACAAGGCTAAGGAATGTATGTATATAGCCATTTTGCTTATAATATAAGTTTTTGTTACATTTGTCGCCATCACAGAGATCACACCATTACTTTAGATCAGCTTTTCCAATTGGGAACACTAATTGGGGTTCCGCCGAAAAATGTGAAAAAAAAATAGCCGCGGGCGGCGAGGGAGCAGTGAGCTAGCTCTGATCTCCCTGCTCAGCTCCCTCGCACGCACAGCAGTGATGCCGGAGTCGGAATATGACATCGCTCCGGCATCACTAGGAGGCACGCGAGGGAGCTGAGCAGAGAGCTCCCTCTCCGACCGCCTCCACCGCTCACCTGTCTGTCCCTCGCCACCCTCCAAGCTGCAGCCATCCCCACTGGACCACAGGGACTTCATGCCAGCAGCCCCACTGGACCCAAGGGACTCCATCAAGCACTCCTAAAGGTAGGGGGGCTGGGTGGAGTAAAATGTAAAAAAAAAATTATATGTGTGTCTGTTAGGGAGTTTGTATATGTTTGTGTGTTTGTCAGTGAGAGTGAATGTGTGCTTGTCAGTGAGTGTATGTGTTTGGCAGTGAGAATGTATCTGTTCTTGTCAATGAGAGTGTATATGTGTCTGTATGTTTGTCCGTAAAAGAGTGTGTGTTTGTCAGTGAGAGTGCATGTCTGCATGTCAGTGAGAGTGTATGTGTGTCTGTCAAAGAGTGTGTGTGTGTCAGTATGTGTATCTGTGTGAAGGTTTGTGTATGTGTCACTATGTGCATCTAAGTGTGTGTGTGTATGTGTCAGTGTGTTTGTATGTGCCTGTGTGTGTGTATCTGAGTGTGTCAGTGTGTATCTGTGGATGCAAGTGTGTGTATGTCACTGTGTGTATCTGAGTGTGTGTGTGTATTTGTGAGTCAAGGTGTGTGTATCTATGTGTCAGTGTGTATCTGTGTGCCAGTGTGTGTATATCTGTGTCAGATACATATACACACTGACACAGAGAAACATACACTGGCGCATACAAACACAGATATACACACCTTGACACACACCGGAACATGCAAACACAGATACACACACCTTTACACACAGTGTGTTAAGGTGTGTGTATCTGTGTGCCACTATCTGCCAGTGTGTGTATCTGTGTGTCAGATTCATACACACTGGCACATACAAACACAGATTGCCAACAAGGTTTTTGCCACCAAGTACTAAGTCGAAGGGGTCAAATACTTATTTCATTCATTGATGTGCAAATCAATTTAGAACTTTTTTGAAAGCAGATCGATCCTCCCGCGAACAGGCTGTGTGGAGCGTTGCCGCGCGTTCCCATGGCAACGCTCCACACAGCTTTGCGTGGGAGGACAGGAGAGCTGCAGCCAGGCATACAGTACTTACCACCACCAGACCACCAGGGCTGGCTGTGCCCCGTCCCCCTCCTTCACCAAAGGTAAGAAGAAGGGAGGGAGGGGTTAAGATTTTAAGGATTATATAAAAAATTTGCTACCTGCAGTACCCCCCTCTTACACACAGCACCCCCACACACACAGAGCACCCCTAACACACACACTGCTGCCCCCCCCACAGCACTCCCCACTTACACAGCACCCCACACACAGCACTCCCTCCCACCCCACACCACAAACTTTTTCACACAAATAGCACCCCCGCCTCACAAACACAGCACCCCCTCCCACACACGCAGCATCCCCCCCACTCACACAGCAGCCCTCTCACACACAGCTCCCCTCACACACAGCACCCCTCACACACAGCACTCCACACCCATACACACAAACACATACACTGTACCCCTCAATGCAGTATGCGTGTGTTTGTATTCAGCAGTCTGTATGTATTCAGGAGTCTGTGTGTGTATTCAGCAGACTGTATGTGTGTATACAGCAGTCTGTCTGTGTGTACTTGTCACGGTT